AGGTGTCAATGTGATGCTCCGAACGGGGGGCATGATTATCGATTTCAAGTGTTCGACTACTTGAGTAGAACTCACTCCAACTCAACTCGATAATTACCGTTTTTCAAGAGCTGTACTCACCACTGGCTTTTTATGGATACTCTCATAATTGAATTAAATCCGCATTTTTTACCTTTCGTAATAAATTTGTCCTTTTACTGACAAGCTTTGTTTTAAATCAAATAATTTACGGGTCTTTTTAGATATTTTGCAATAAAAACTGCTAAAATTATTTACAGGGAGATTTGGGAGCTAAAGAGCAACTATTCATTTACGATAATAACCAGTGGTTAGTGTTGCATGTCTGGTCCCCTCCCCACACATTCTTCGACTGCTGCACTGTAATTAAGAGATCCAGTGTCTAGCACTACTGGGGGAACAGGACTTATCTCGACACGATGACTCACACCCTCGAGTGCGTACAGCTCACCAGACAACGCGGGGGAGGGGGAGAAGGGGGTGTGAGGGTGGACACTTGATATTTCAGGGCAAGACAAGCCCACTGCAGACACCTAAACGCACATCTGCTGGTGATTGTTACCCCTGGTGTTCACTGTCTGTTTTTTGCAACTGGCAACAGTTGTTTTCTCCGTGGAAAACAAAATTTTGTTTTGCTGAAACGGTGTTCCACAGCTGCCAGAAGCAACAGGTGACTGAGGATTTCAATGAAGGCAATAAAACGTACGATTCTGTAAATGACTGGAAATGCAAGTAATTGAAAGAGCCGACATGCCAGGGAAGTTAGAAAACGCCATGGATTTCAAAGTAGGCCAAACCAAAGATAAGTAAACACGAACAGTCGACAGATATTTCAGCAAAGATCTTTAACAGTGGAAACAAGCTCTTCATCTGGTAATGACTAGAATTCGACACAACAGAGCCTCGTGGGAATGCAGCCCGACTCGATTCCACTTCCCCCGTGGCCAGTAGTTACTTGCCCCACTCCCACCCACCACCACAACGTCAGCACACGCAAAATGCTCCCGTTTGTCGTGACTTGTAACAAAAGCGATCTCCATCGTCATTAAGCGGTCCCTGGGGGCATCTAAACGTCGCAGCCGGCCGGTGGTTCAACCAAACGACGGTAGTGGCGACTGGAATGACGGGCAGTCCACTTCGAAGACTTCTAAAAGAGCAACAAATTCTCTCTGGCAGCTGATTCCATGAATACACTGAAGAGTGTCTCAGGGACATCAGTGAAAAAAGCATTGTCCATCGCTGGCTCACACCACATGCATGCGCTTTCAATGGCAATGCGTAGACACACCAGAACGAGCACTTGTAGTCGTCTACCTAGGGGTTAATTTGACGCTACAAATGGAGTAGATCAGTAAGACTAATCTCTCTTTTTGGGGAAAAACCATTCTTTGACGCAGGCGAAAGTATTCACAAGATGTCTTCAAACTCACTACCGCCACACTAGCCACAACCATTCCCAAACAATTTACGACTTCGCAACGTGAATTCACGATACAATCGAATGCACGATTTTCTCACAAAACACCCTGTCGCGATGTCAAAGAGCAAAATACCCACTTGGTCATCTAAAATGCTGCTGTCATTGTGCCGAAAGACAGCTCGTTAATATTTCATCCACCTCGACTCACCACCCTCTTCCTGGTGGTGTAGGTTTGTCACCACAGACGACGTCCAAACCTCGACACACCACGCGCAATTATCAGTGACCTGTTCTTTGACAACCACTAATGTCTCTCACTGTGCTAGTACTATGGCCACAATCGCCGAGTTGAAGAGGTACATTTCTTACAAACAAACTTGCCTTTCCTGGGGTTAGAGAGGGCGCCTTCACAAATGCTCGCAGACAGTGAACACAGTCGAACGAATCACGCCACGCCTCACAGCACTACTCACAACGCCAC